CTCGATCTCACGACCCTGAGATCATGACCTGAGCCAAAATCAAGAGTCAGACGCTCAACTGACGGAGTCACCCAGGAGCCCTTTCTTAACTTAATAACTTAATAACTTCTTGTTATTACTGGGTGTTCAAGACAATGAAAACGTTTCAAGATACCAGATACTGTCGAACCTTCTTATTTCTTTATATATATATAAATTTCTGCAACATTTGAACTATTTCAAATATTTATCTGCCCCTTTGTTATCAGACAAAAATGCAAAATGCAAACTGGGAAGGTCACGCTCAGTCCTCACCTGACTTGACCCCCACCAGCGTCGTGACTGATCACCCCCTCCATGGGGCACAATTTCTCTTGGGTTTCCACACCCCTCACCCCAGAGGAGTCCCGCTGGGGCCTCCGGCACAGTCCTACAGCCTGGGAGGCTCAAACAACAGGAATCTCTTCTCTTACAGTCTGAAGGCTGGAAGTCTGAGACCCAGGTGTGGACGGGACTGGTGTCTCCTGTGGCCTCTCTCCGTGGTCTCTCTCCACGGCATGCAGACAGCCGCCACGTCCTGTGTCCTCACGTGGTCATCTTCTGTACACGCACCCCTGGCGTCTCTGTGTGTCTGCATTTCCTCTTCCTCCCCCGGGGTTCAGCCAAGGACCGAGCTCTGCCCGCAGAGGGGAGAACACGGCATCCATTTCTAATTTGTCCCCCTTGGACCTGGCATCTTGCTGCGCCTTCAAGGTTATTCTAAAATTGCCACGATTGGGCCCAGTCTGTACGACCACTCAGACCTGTGGGGATAATTTGCTTCCTTTCACGCTAATCAAGAAATTTTGTTTCTCCTGAAAGCAGAATACAAGGACAAAACTCGGGTTCACCAGGAACTCGTCAGTTTCCAGGAAACAGGCAGGAAGGCGTTATTACTCACAGATGCGCGTCTAAACTTCCGCTCGGTCCTTGGCTGAACCCTGGGGCTCGGTGTGAGCGGCGGGGAGGAGCTGAACCTCCGACTGTGCTGGGAAACCTGCCGGAATTGCTCCTGTGTCGTGGCTGACCCTGCGGCCGCTGGCACGACCTGGGAACCCCCACCGCGCCCTGAGATAGCTTCCCCAAATAATGCCAGGTTTGCTGGCAATGGCCAGAAGCAGGGAGAGGCGAGGAAGGACCAGCCCTGCCGACACCTGGATCTCAGAGCTCCAGCCTCCAGAGCTGGGAGACGAGAAGTTTCTACTATCCAAGGCACCGAGCGCATGGCACTTTGTTTCGGTGGCCCTGAGATGCGAACACTCCGTGGTTTATGCTCATCTGTTCCCTGCAAATGCCTGTTTGCTGGGAGGACCTGGCCTCAGTGTCTCTCTCGAAGTAACACTTTGAAGGCGCCGTATTACACTACATAGTGCCACGGGGACTGCCAAATGCTAGCAGGTGCCCTGTCCTTCCAGCGCGCCACTGAGGGGGCCCGGTGCCACTGAAGCCACGAGCAAGAAGGCACCAGAAGCCCCGAGACCAGGCTTGGGGGCTCGAAGTCTGACACCAGTTCCACCATGTGGGTTTTCTTCCGATTAACTCAATTCTTTCACAATCTACCCAAAAATAGCATCTGATGCCACAGGCGAAGGGCTGGGTCCGGCAGATTGCTCCCGCGCACACCGCACCCCCACCCGGCCCCCCGCAGACGCCAGCCACAGGTGTCAACTGCTTCGGACCCACTGGCCACAGATCGGAGGTTCCAACCACCGCCACCTGGGGTTCCAATAATTTGCTAGAGTGGCTCACGGAACTCAGAGAACTTACTAGATCACTGGTTTATTACAAAAGAATGTGACTCAGGAACAGCCAGATGGAAGAGATGCCCAGGGCGAGGTCCGGGGGTGGGGGGGAAGGGGGCGGAGCTTCTGTGCCCTCCAGGGACCACGCTCCCCACAGTTCCCCGTGTTCACCAGCCTGGAAGTGCTCCAAACCTTCTCCTTTTGGGTTTTTATGGTGGTTTCATTGCACAGACAGAACTGCTTCAACCTCCAGCCGCTCTCCCTCCCTGGAGGTCGGGGGAGGGACTGAAAGTTTCAACAATAATCACAGGCCAGCCCTACCCTAGGATGCTTTCCAAAGTCACCTTATTAACATAACACAAGACAATGCTCTCTCCATTTGGGAAATCCCAAGGGTTTTAGCAGCTCTGCACCAGGAACAGGATGAAGATAAAATTATATATATATATATTTTTTTCTGATATTTGTATATATTGCAAAATGATCACTGCAACAAATGTAGTTAACGTCTGTCTCGATACATTGTGACATTTTTCTTCTGATAAGGACTTTCAATATCTACTTTCTATGGGGTGCCTGGGTGGCTGAGATGGTTAAGCGTCGGCCTTCGGCTCAGGTCACGATCCCAGCATCCTGGAATCGAGCCCCCGCATCCGGCTCCCTGTTTGGCGGGGAGCCTGCTTCTCCCTCTCCCTCTAATGTTCCCCAGCTTGTGCTCTCTCGCCCTCTCTGTCAAATAAATAAATAAAATCTTAAAAAAAAAAACTACTTTCTAAGCAACTTTCAAATACGCAATACAGCGTTATTAACTACATTACTGTAATATATAGCCGGGTGATGAGAGTTAATGTATCTTGTTATAATTCACAACATCACGGGGGCGCAAAGCTCCCACCCCACCCCCAGACGCGTGTGCACCACGGATGCTGAGCGAGGCGTCCCAGAAGCCACCCCTTTGTGGCCACAGGGCCTTTGGTCTGCTTCAGGATGGGGGGCTGCCCCGTGCCTCCAGGCCAGCCACCTCCTCTAGAACGCACCTTGGGCGTGCAGGCCTGGCTGGGGGCCAGCACCAACCCAGGCCTTCCCAAATCTCCCGTGGGGCACCTTCAGAAACTTGTCTTTCTGCCTCCTGCCTTCTGGCATAAGCCATGTTTCCCGGGAAATCCTTTGAAAAAGCACGAACTGTAGCAGAACTGTTGCAGAAAGACATGGTGACGCAGCCCTCCCTGCACGGCTGCCGGGGGGTCCCCCTCTTACCTCCGTGCCTCCTCAACGCACACCGGGAGAGTCATCCCGTCCTTCTCCGCTTCCCTCTTATATGCTGTGTGGCTCACTCCCCATGAGCAGCACTAGCAGAAACGAAACCAGATATCCCAGCCACAGAAATGAAACAGAAACAGCAACACCCTCCCCCCACACCGCCGCCCCGTCCGTGACTCATACAGGGGTCCTCAGCCTCCAGCTGGGGCAGGATTGTCCGGGAGGGCTGGGGCACACATGGTGGGGGTGGGGAGGGCTGCTGCCTGGGGCCAGGGTGGGGCCGGAGAATCTGCATCGCAGAGGACGAGTTCTGGGGGAGGCTGGTGTCGGGCCCCATTTGGAGATCCAATGACTCAGAGCAGCACGGTCCTATAGGACATTCCGTGATGATGGGAATGTTCTGTTCTTTGCTGTCCACTACAGAGGGGTGCCAACGTGGCTCCCAAGCATCCGGAACGAGGCTAGTGAGCCCGAGGACCTGACCGTCTTGCTTGGTGTCATTCTGATTAACCCAGCGGGTTAATCCCCCCCACCCGGGTGCCTCCCACACGCCCGCAGCTCTGTGATCTGAATGCTCTGAGAAGTCCTGCAGCAGCAAGCCTGAACCACACCTGACCACTGCCATCCTCTTCCCGTGCAGACCCAAAGGGGGAAGTCCGCAGCTTGCCGCAATGACCCGTTCGTTCGTTCGGTGCACACCCTCACGCTCCTGGTGGGTCCCTGCCCTGGGAGAGCTCTCTGCCGGGACAGGAAGAGGACAGAGGCCAGACTGCAAGGGGCTCCCAGCTGGTCCTCGGTCATGTCCCCTGCGAAAGTGCAGGCATGCGCCCAGGGGTCCTGCAGGTCCCCTGTTCTGTGCCTGAGTAGAGGTGAGTCAGGTATGCCTGTCACCAGAGCACAGCTGTTGGGGACCCCAGGACGCCAGCCCTGCACAAGGAAGAGGAAGCAGACCTCAGGCTGATCTTCCCCAAAATCAAAACTAACATTGTATATAAATCATGAAAAAAAAAAAACCAAACCCAAGCACTTCTATGTTCCTTCATTTTACTGACTGCCCTTGTGGGCACGTTTTCCTTTAAAGAAGGAATTTAAAGGTTTAAAAGATGTTTTTAGAATCCTGGCCTTGAGGGGCACCTGGGTGGCTCATTTGGTTAAGCATCTGCCTTCGGCTCAGGTCATGATCCCAGGGTCCTGGGATTGAGTCCCGCATCAGGTGCCCTGCTCGCGGGGAGCCTGCTTCTCCCTCTTCTCCCTGCTCATGCTCTCTCTCACTATCTCTTTCTCTCTCTCAAATAAATGAAATCTTAAAAAAAAAAAAAAAAAAAGAACCCTGGCCTTGAGAGGTCTTGGGGAGACAGTCTTCGAGATCTGTGCCCTGCAGGGTCTGATGCTGAGCACTGTTACTCCAGAGCCCGGGGCGGGGAGCTGAGCAGCTCATCTGCAGCGTGATGCTTTTCTGTTTCACCACCGATGCCTTTTCTAGCAGTCCCGGGGCGTGTCTACAGCTCCAGGAAAGGCACCTGAAGGCCCTGGACAAGCCGGACAGAGAGGCTCTATCTTAGGTGGGGGCAGCAAGAGCAGCTGGGGACCTCCGTCTGCTGTCCAAAGAGCTTCCCCTCCTGCGTGCTCCCCATCCCAGCGGCCTCTCCAGGAGGGAGCAGGGGTGCCCACACATTCAAACTGCCAGGATGGGGTCCTTGCGGCTGGCGGCTGGTGACATGAGCAGCCGAGGGGGGAGCACGCTCAGCAGCACTGCTGTCCTGCTGCTCTCTGCTCAGCTCCAGGGGGCTGGGGCTGGAGGTGCGGGTGGGGGTGGTGAGAGGATAAGGATGCACCGCCCATCTGGCCTGCTGAGCCTCTGTGGGATGGCAGCCAGTGTGTTCAAAGGGTCCCGGCGCCCGGGAGCCAGCGTGCACCCACCCTCCGACGGCCCTTTCCTTCCAAGTTGGCATTCTCGGCTGTGCAAGTAAGACCGTGGAAACTGCTTGGATTGATGAGCTGGAGGGAGCTGTGGAGCCCGAGGACCGGCAGGGGTTTGAGGGATGTGTGTTCCAGTGGGATGCAGTAGCAGGGGGCACTGTGAGGTTAGAGCCCACTGCCTCCTCACTCTCCAGTGGGTTAACAATGGTGCCCGCACCCCAGGATGGGTGCGAGGAGTAGTGGAGGGTCCGCAGCAGGTGCGCTGGGCACAGGGGATGTCATGTCGGCTCTCAAGCATGGTGCTGTCCCTAGGGGACTGGCCCTAGGCCGGGCAGTGTGAGCTGGGTGGGATAGAGTCCTTTAAGGGGCTGGAGCATCCCAGCCGGTGACACCCTTTTCTTGGTCAGGAACAAGCTCTGTTCTCAGTTTTGTGGTGTTCAAAGTCCAAGGCATCTTGGTAATGGAAACGCTGAGGTAAGTGGGAGTGGGGGGTGGGGGGGAAGCCCCCACTTCAGGGAGGCAGAGGCTTGAGGCCCTGGTGTCCTCCCTGGAAGGGGCAGCTACTTCCAGCCTCCCCAGCTGCCATCCTTGAACCTGCCATAGGGAGGGGCAGGGTCTGCACTCCTCCCAGGAGAGCTCACCCCTGCTCTGCCCTGGGGATGGGGGCTCGGCTTGCCCTGATGGGGGCTGGACCAACAGGATGCTCAGAGCTGGTTGCCCACCTCCGTGTCATTGGCAGCTTTTTTTTTTTTTTTTTTTTTTACTAGACTCTATTTTACTGCAGTTGTGGGTTCAAAGCAAAATTGAGAGGAAGTTACAGACATTTCCCATTTCCCGCTGGCCCTGCACATGCACAGCCTCCCCCATGATGGACATGCCCACCAGAGAGGTACCTTTGTCCCAGGCGACAAACCTGCACTGAGGCATCTCACCCAGAGTCCATAGTTCATGTCAAGTTCACGCTCGGTGATGTGCATTCTGAGGGTCTGGGCAGGTGCATGAGGACACGCATCCACCTTACAGTATATCCGGGTCCTCTGAGCTCCAGCTGGGCCCCCCACCCCCTCAGTGCCCGCTGCCCCCGCCTCACTGACCACCCTCACACCCTCCAAATGCCTCGTCCCCACGCCTCCTAGTTGGTCCAGGCCCCGGAACCCCTGACCCCTCCCGCAGAGGGGGCCAGAGGGGCTTCCCAGTAAGGGGAGGACACAGCGAGGCGGCTGGTGGGGGACATGGGGCTCTGCGGGGAGGGAGCAGTCCCCAGCGCGGGGCGGAGGATGGCGTGGGCACAGCCGTCCCACCGCTGGCATAGCCCCCCGGCTGTGGACTCGCCCGTGCAGGCTGGGAAGCGGATGCTTTCAGGAACGTTCCACAAGAGCTGCCGAAAGAAAACGCGGTGGCAGGGCCTACAGGGCCCACAGCAGTGACCCAGGCCTGAAATCTCAAATGTGCTCATGTTGTGGAAGCCATTCTGCTGACGGCCATACTATTTAATGGAATAAAATGAAAGTCTGGGGAGAGAACACAAGCCTGATGAAGGGAATATGGCCACGGTCGCCACTGGGGAGGACGTTTTCAGGAAGCTGTTGGGCAGCCGAGCGTCGGCAGGTGGCACCGTGAGAACAGACTCGGGGCCCTCCTGGATGCTGGCGCCCAGAGGCTGGGACAGGTCCACACTCGGGGCCCTGTGGGCAGCAAACGGGACACGGACGGTCCGGGGCCCGCGCCCCAGGTGGGGGTGTACCCGTGAGGGCCACCACAGGTGCCAGTGGAGGCTGAGGGGTCCCAGCGCTATCTCAGGGCGGGGGAGCCTCACATCCCGGGACAGGATTCTGGGACGTGCTTGGCCAGGAGGCCCTGAGGCCTCATTCCTGGCAGTGAACTAAGATCAATGGGGCTGTGAAAATGCAGTCATTCAGGCCAGAGTATAAAGATACTCCCTCCCCCTTTCTTTAGTACAGAAATGTCTATGGGCGCCAGAGCTTAGAACCCAAAGGGAACCGTAAGCATGTCCCTGGGGCGGTCATACCAAACCCCACAGATGGGCGGCTTAAACAGCGACATTTGCTCTCCCTCAGTCTAGAGGCCAGAAGTCCAAGGTGTTCCGGCCTGTGCACCCTCCACGGGTTCTGGGGGGGGCATCTGCTCCAGGCCTCTCCCCAGGCTTGTAGGGGTTTGCTGGTGTCCCTGGGACTTCCTGGCTTGTGGAAGCATCACCCGGACCTTTGCCTCCATGCTCTGTGTCCACGTCCCCCTTCGCATAAGGACACGATCACCCTGGCTCATGGTCCATCCTACTCCTCCTAACATGCTACACCCACAATTTCCTCTATTTCCAAATACGGTCACATTCTGAGATTCCAGGGGTTAGGATCTCAACTTAGGAATTTTGCAGGGACATAGTTTAGTCCATAGTGGGGCCTGAGCCACAGTCCTAGCCAGTGGTTTGCAGACTCCCCAGCCGTAGGTCCGGTCCTACGGCAGTTCCACAGCCCAACAAGCAGGGCTTGCTCCTCCCAACCTCTCTTTCCAGGCCACATCCCTTCCTTCCCTCACCATTCCCATCCATTCCAGTCTTCCTGCTCACGAATGCCTTCACTGAGAGACATTCTGGCATAAACGTACTGTGTGCCAAGACTGGATACAACCAGGAAATACTGCTTGCTTGAAGACAAACCTCAAAAATTCATCAAATGTTGACTGTTGGCAAAGATTCTTGGGCCAGGCCACACCGCATGGGTCTACACATCACACGTTTATTAAGGCCATGTGCAACGTTAGCTCGGTTGTTTCGGTATGCAGCCTTCTATCTGTACCTCTGCAGGCCAGCCAGAGTACCTGTTCCTCGCACTATCAGAGTGGTTGATCTGTGTGAAGGAAAGAAAAGAATTGTATTTATCCACTCATCGATTCAACAAATATTTAACGTGCCAGTTACGAGCAAAGTCTATATATAAAGAGAATCACTGCCTAGAACGGGATTTGCTCTAACCTACTCTGGGCACTTGATTTTTTTTTTCTTAATAATATTTGAACCAGGTGTTAATGAAGCTCTAGAACTTTCTGCAGTGACACAGATGTTCTATCATCCACGCTGTCCAATACAGTAGCCCCCAGCCACGTCGGATTCGTGAGGACTTAAAATGTTGGCTAGTGTGACTGATGAACTGAATTTTAAATTCTATTTTATTTAGATAAATGTAAACGTAAATGCAAATTTGGCTAGAAGCCGCCATATTGGATGGCATAGCTCAAATGTTTAATTTTTAATTCTCTGGATGTAGGGCTGTATTTTTTTTTTTTTTTCCCAGGGAAACTGTAGAGTC